AATACCAAATCAATATCATTAGATTCGCCATGAAATGTATTTTCATACATGGAGGCGTTTCGGCTCCGAGGAGCATTTGCTCTCGGATGAACAATACCTAAAAATGCAGTAAAATGTTTTCAAAAAAATCTGAATTTTGTTGTGGATGTTCGTGTTAGTGTCACAAGCATGCCTGACAATTTTCATGCGAAGCGGAGTACTAGTGTTTCGTCGTTGAGAAAACAATTTTGAGATGACATTTTTGGGTAATATTTGGTGTTCAGTATGGTTCTTTTGCGCAAGCCAAAATGTTTAGCCTTTTTGCCTAAAACTTTGCAGGTAGCATTTGGATGTAACTATAAAATACATTAAAGAATGGGGATTTTCTTACATATAAAAAAAAATCACGGACAGGAGCACGTGCTCCCGGGGGCCAAATTGGATTTCCATTTCATATGGTATATATTTGGTACTATAGATATAAATAATTTTCTCTACAAACTTGTTCGAATTTTGTGAAGCTTTACTTTCACGAAAATCAATATGCACTACATTATGGGACAAAGGGAATATTAGGATGTCATAATAAAACCTATAGAAAACTCCATAAAGATCCTATAGGAATTGGAGACATAGAATCTACAGTAGAAGCTGTTTGGTTGCGCCGTATAGAAAAAACAAAACAAAAAATCTTACTAGTAGAATATTATGTGCATGCCATAGTTGTTACAGCCCAAAGAAAAAAAATCATAAAGTGGGATTGCATGCAAAGTAAACCATAGAAAGAAAAATCATATAGTTTCCAATCGTGCATACCAAACAAGTTCTATAAGCAACATGAATATTCTTGAGTATTGGAATCCCCAGAAATCCTGTGGAATTACGTTGAACCAGGCTTAATGTCAATGAAGGAAGTGATCCGAGTCGCCTGGACTATAAATGAGCAAGTGTCCAGCAAACAAGATCTGGTCTCATTCATGTACAATTGTTTTCTTTCTCCTCTAGGTGGTATTTTATAAATGACCTGTTAAAAAGGATATTCTCAAAGGATCAAGGATATTGACTAGAGGGGCGAATAGGTGACTGGATTTTAACTAGTTTGTTTGATTTAGTTAAATGTGGGTATGTAACTTATCCAAAAACACATGTGAATCGCTTTATATGGCAAGGAAACACTAGTAAGCAAGACTAGCAAAAAAACTGGTTAGGACTATATTGAGCATAAATAACGAGAATGTATAAATAACAAATAGCAAAAAAGCACTACCTTCTTTTTTTAGGGTAGCACTGCCTTTGGCAAGCAAGCCCCGTCAACTGCGGCCAAATCATGATATCGTGTAAATTTTGGAAACAAAAAACACAATTCAGTAGCCAAAAGGTCACTACGAGAGTGATCAGAACATTGATTAAAGAAAGGCCCGTACAAACTAAGCGTACTTCAGATGGTTAGGTTCCTTGTGATGGAGTCAGCTCACTAGGGTTCAACTTGTAGACTTGCAGTGATGGTCACATTTTCTGCATTTATTTTAGACTCCCAGGCGATGTTCGTTCAGGAGAAGACGTCCCAGTCGACTACGAGACACATGTGATGACTTCGTCAATCTCAAGATGTTGTGTCAACTTCGAAAGGGCTCACATGGGGTAGGGTGTGCGCGTGTGTTTATAAGGGCCAGTGTATGTGAGCATATGTTGGCCCAACAAAAAAGATGATTACCTAAAGGGGTACTAATAACCTTTATTTGTGAACAAAAAATACCTTTATTTGGGTGAAAAGGGATACTAATAATCTTTTTTGCTAACAAAGGAGACTAATAACTTTAATTGTAGTAGGTTAATATAAGGAATTATATCCGAGTAGGGCATTTTCAAGACCGAGCTCCATGGAGCCCTCCATTTGAAAATTCCAAAATTCAAAAATTTCAGTTTCAAATTTTTTTTTTGAAAAAATGCACATGTATGCAAGGATGTAAAGTGTATGTGTGAAAAATTTAGGATGAAATACCTCGAATTGCAAGCTGTGCAAAAAGAACAAAATCGTGGACTTTGAGGATGGACAGTACATATGCTAAAAAAACCTAGATTTGTCCTTTTTGTGTAGCTCACATTTTAATGTATTTCAACCTAAAATTTTGCACACAAGTACATTATGTATCTAGTATATTTGTACTTATTTTTAGAACTTTTTGAAACTAAAAAATTTGAATTTTAAAATTTTCAATTAAAGGGCTCCATGGAGCTCGGTCTCTGTTTGGCATTTTCGATTATATTCTCACAACAACAATTTTTTGTACACGATCGAGTGATGCACATCTTATTTCCAAATCTATCCTACGTTGTGTAGAAAAAAGGAACCGCGAAGTAAATGGACTTTAGAGCGTCATTGTATCATCCAAGATTCGAGCCGAATGCTACATCGCATACCGATATCCTATTTTTTTCTTTAGGGCTGTCCATATTCTGCTGGGGAGTGGGGTTCCGTCGTTCATTTGTTGGGCATCATTATTGTGAAAAATCTGGTCGGTTTCCTTTCGTTTTGTTCCAGAAGATTAAGAAGGTATTTATTGTTTCACTAAGCATAATGATCAGATGGCCGAGTTGGTCTAAGGCGCCAGATTAAGGCTCTGGTCCGAAAGGGCGTGGGTTCAAATCCCACTCTGGTCAATTGTTTTTCTATTTTCTTCAAAGGGATCCCCCGGTAGGGCTGTAGCATACATTGCAATAATAAAAAAAATACTACAGTTTTTTTCAAAAGAAATAAAAATAAATACTCCACTAAAATATACAATTCAGAGCATGACTAATCTGTATCAAATTCGACTCTGATCAATTCGTTTTCTTTTTATGTTCTCGAATAGGAACTTATCGAGTACTGCCTCCGTCTGGATTTATAAGTCTCATTGCATTTTGGGTCAAACTTTGACCAAAAATTAAGTTATACACCATAAAATTTATAGCATTGGATACGTATTTGAAGAAGTTTCAAATGATATTATTTTAAATACATAAAATATATTTTTATTAGTTAAATTTAAAATCAAACTTCAACACAAAAATAGGAGGGGAACAATATACATTGCAATAATAAAAAAAATACTACAGTTTTTTTCAAAAGAAATAAAAATAAATACTCCACTAAAATATACAATTCAGAGCATGACTAATCTGTATCAAATTCGACTCTGATCAATTCGTTTTCTTTTTATGTTCTCGAATAGGAACTTATCGAGTACTGCCTCCGTCTGGATTTATAAGTCTCATTACATTTTGGGTCAAACTTTGACCAAAAATTAAGTTATACACCATAAAATTTATAGCATTGGATACGTATTTGAAGAAGTTTCAAATGATATTATTTTAAATACATAAAATATATTTTTATTAGTTAAATTTAAAATCAAACTTCAACACAAAAATAGGAGGGGAACAATATACTCGGACGAGTGCAGTAGGCCAGTACATTGATTACTAATAGTAGTTATTTTTATTTCAGTTTCTTGAAGAGGATTCGCCCGGCCATGAATAGTTATAAAGAATAAATACCCCACTTAAATATAGTATTCAATTCATGACAAATCTATGGATCAAATTCTACACTGCTCAACCTATTTCAATTTGTTTTCTTTTTCGGAAAGAGTAACGCTCACATGTGTGGCACTTCTCCAACCCGCCCACACGTCTGGATCGTCGTCTATTGAACTTGCACGAATCTTGGCACGATGATGCAATATTTGGTTGCCATGTAGGACAAGGGCTACGTGCGGTGTCTTCATCAGTTCGCCCGCACGCGTTTCCCCCTCGATCGTCAACGGTTGCGAGTCGGGGCGTGCGATGGAACCGCCGTCGCGCCCACACGCATGGCGCACGACTTCTGTCGCCGTCTCCCTCGACTGGCCATTCCCCCTCAGTGCCTCTGCAGTTTCTCCCCGTCTCATTCATTTCTCCCCAACCAACCTTCCAAAGGCAGTTTCGCTCGATTGAAGGAGAAGACGAGAGGAGGAGGAGGCGGTGGCGGCGGAAGAGTCGACGGCATTCGCGGCCGTTGCTGGTGTTCACCGGACCGGAGCATCGTCGCTGGAGCAGCCGCGGTGAGAAGGTAAGACTGTCGAAGCTTCTGTACTC